GAGAGGAGGAGCGAAGAGAGAGGAGCAGCGGAGAGGAGTTGAGAGGTGCACGAGGAGTGAGGAGAGAGAGAGAGAGAGAGGAAAGACGAGAGAGAGGGAGGAGAGCGGGGGGAGGGAGGGAGAACGGGAGAGAGGGGGAGAGGAGAGGAGAGAGAGAGGAGGCGGGGAGAGAGGGAGGGAAGGGGAAAGAGAGCAGAAGAGAGGAAAAGAAGAGAAGGAGGGGAGAAGGAGGAGAGAGGAAGAGAGACGAGAGAGAGAAAGAAAAGAGGGAAGAGGAGTAGAAGAAGAAGAGGGGAGAGAAGACGGAAAGGAAGGCGGAAGAAGGGCGGGAGGAGGAGGGGGAGGGGAAGAGGGGAGAAGAGGAGAAGAGGAGGGGAGGAGAGAACGGAGGAAGGGGAGGGAGAAGAGACAAAGAACCGGACGGGGGAGCAGCAGGGAGAGAGAGAAGGAAGAGAGAAGGAGAGAGAGTAGGAGGGGAGAAGGAGGAGAGAGGAGACGAAGGGAAAAGGAGGAGAAGAGAGGAGGGAGACGAAGGAGAGGAGAGACAGGAGACGGAGGGAAAAAAGAGAAAGAGAGCAGAGGAGAGGAAAGGCAGGAAGATGGAGAGGACAGACATAGGGGGGGGAAGGGAGGAGGGAGGAGGAGAGGGAGAGGAAGAGACAGACGACAGGGCAGACAGGAGGGGAAGAGGAGGAGGAGGCAGGAGAGAAGAGACGGAGGAGGAAACGCCAGACAGAGAGGGAAGCGGGAGGGGACCAGAAACACGGGAGAGGGAGAGAGTAGAGAAGGACAGAGGAGGGAAGAGACAGAGGAGAGGGACAGGGGGGGAAGGAGGGGGAAGAGGAGGACAGGGAGAGACGGAAGGGAGAGGGAGAGGAGGGGGAGGAGAGAGCAGGGAGAGGGTGGGAGAGAGAGGAGAGGGGAGCGGTAGGAAGGGGGAGAGGGAGGAGAGAGGGAGGAGGAGGTGGAGAGGAAAGAGAGGGAGAGGGGAAGAGGGGAAAGAGGAACGGGAGTGGACTAGAGAAAAGAGGGAAGAGAGGGAGGAAGCAGGAAGGGAGGGGAGGAAAGAGCGAGAGGAGAGGAAGAGGAGAGGAGGAGAGAGAGAGAAGAGAGAGGAAGAGGCGACTGGAAGGACAGAAGACGGAGAGGCGGGGAGAGGAAGAGGGAGGAGCGGGGAGAGAGGGTGGAGGGAGGGGAGGGCATGTGAGTAGGTGAGCAGGAGAAGCGAGATCGAGGGAGAGAGTAGAGGGGGTGAAACCTCTGGGGGGCGAGGGGAGGAGAGAGAGAGAGAGCGGAGGAGAGAGACAAGAGAGACCAGAGAGAGAAGTGTGAAAAGACGACGAGAGAGGCAGAAGAGGCAGACGAGATGGAAGCGGAGAGTGAAGAGAAGAGAGTGGAATAAAGGAGAGAAGATCGAGAGCAAGGGACGCGAGAGAGAGAAAGCGAGAGAGCAGAGGAAGAGATGGCAGAACGATTGAGAAGAGGAGACGAGAGGCCGGGCTGAGATGAGAAGGAGAGAGAGAGTTCTGAGAGAGAGAGTAGAGCAGAGAGAGAGAAGATTTGAAAGAGGAGAGGTAGAGAGACAGGAGAGAAAGAGAGTGAAGAGAGATGAGAGAAGCGAGAGAGAGTGATAGTGACGTGATGTGACGAGAGAGAGAGCAGTGAGGGAGAGACGAGACGAGAGACGATTGAGAGAGCGAATGAACGAGCGCTAGAGAGAAAGAGAGACAGCGAGAGAGAGACGAGGGACGTGCGAGCAGCGAAGGAGAGCGAGGGAGGAGAAGACAGAGGGAGAGATTGGGAAAGAGATAGAGGGACGAGGGACTGTCAAGAGCGCGCACGACTATCATGCAGAGGAATGAGCAGCTTGAGGTGTTTCATATGGGCTGTGTCTCCACGGGATAAAAACTACAGATATGTGTGGTGTGTGTTAAGGGTATGGCGAGAGGATAGCTGAGTGTGTACGCAGAAGAGGTGAGTCATAACGGTCGGCGATGTGTAGATTGTGTGTAGCCTTGGATTGATGCTGGACGAGAGTGAGCTGGTAGCTGCGGATGCCGCTGGATTGAACTTGTGTGTTGGGTGGGCGGGGGTGGGGGCGAGAGAAGAGGGAGGAGGGATGAGTGAAGAGGGGGTTGGGTGAACGGTTGTCGGAGAGAGTGTGTGTGTGTGCGAGATTGATCAGTTGAGGGGGGGGGTGAAGTCGACGTAGTAATGGGTCGTCCGTGACTGAAGACGAAATCATCTACCTTCGTCATGCTTGTGACGGCTCGGTATACAATGAGTTTGTGGCAGTTGTGGGAGTTGTTACTGCTGATGCCAAGTCTATCACTGAGGCCATCCTTCACTCACTGTCAGAGAGATTACAAGTGGATAGAGCTTCCATTAGCCAAAAGCTGGTAGGTTTTGGTTCCGATGGCGCAGCGGTGATGTTGGGGAAGAAAGGAGGAGTGGCTTCTCGGCTGAAAGAGCTCAGTCCAGCCCTACAAGCAGTGCACTGCACTGCCCATAGGCTTGAGCTGGCATTCAAAGATGCAGTCAAGAATGTCGCTCTCTGCAATACTGTCAACTCGCTACTGCTCAACTTGTATCTCTTCTACAAGAACAGCTCCAAGAACAGAAGCTCACTGAAAGAGGCAGCAGATGCCGTGGGAGTCCCACAGCTATTCCCAACCAGGGTTGGAGGGACACGGTGGTTACCTCACCTGCAACGTGCTCTGGAGAATTTCCTGAGGGGATACCATGCCATCACAACTCAACTGCATCAGCTTCAAGCACAACCAGGAGTAACAACAGATGCCAGAGCGAAGGCCAAAGGGTACTTGAAGCAGCTGCAACGGAAGGATGTGGTTCTCTTTGCACACTTTATGCTGGATGTTGTGACGGTCCTCTCAAAGGTGTCACTGACAGCACAGCGATCACAGTCCACTGTCGCTGATGTGGTTGCATCTATAGACATGTCATTAACAACCCTCAAGAAATACAGGAGCAAGAAATCATCACCACGTCTGCAAAACTTCGATGACACTTTCAATAGTGGGGAATTTGAGTTGACAGGGAGTGACAACATTGAAGCAGGACTGGTGCAGTTGGTAGATGGCCTAGAGAGCTCTTTGCTTGGCAGATTCGATGACATGAATGATGAAGTGCTGGCAGCAATGCAGATCCTCAGCTTCACATTCTGGCCACAAGAACATGAAGCTGATGAGGACTTTGGGGATGAAGCAGTGCAGACTCTTCGCCACCACTTTGAAGCAGTGCTGAAGGATGCTGGGGTAGTCGTCGACGCTCTTGGTGTAGAGTGGGACTTACTCAAGGCAAGAATGTATGCCAAGAAGAACAAGAAGGACCATCCGTGGGCCACCACCATCCCTGAACTCAAGGAGGAGTTACCCAATATCTGCGCACTGATGGACCTACTGCTGAGTATTCCAGCCAGCTCAGCAGAAGCAGAGCGCGGGTTCAGCCGCCTTAAGTTGGTGAAGAGCTGAGCTCTCTCACGCACCTTCCCTCAAGGAGCAAAGTGTCAGCCGACTCCTATTCTACATCATTGCATTCCGGATCAAGTGTTACACAATTTAACCCTAATAATGAGCCGTCAACCTGTGTATACTATCGGGAAAACTCGATCACGGGAGGCAGAAATGTGCGAAAAGAGAAGCCAGCTGAGGCAGGAACTCTGATGGGCGTGACTCCATGTCAGAAATAAAATCTGGAATTCTATAGAAAGTTCAAGATGAAAGTCAAGCGACATTTGAATGATTGAAAGACATATTTATTGACTTTTACATGACATGTCGATGAGAGTTCATGACTACTGTAAAGATAAAGATACTATGCATGAGAATTATGAAGCTTTTTAATATTTGAGAACTTATTTAACTCAGTCAGGTTTTGTTATTTCTATTTGTATGTTGTCGTAAATTAGTTATGTTAGCGAATATTGCCAAACACATCTACACATGAGTGTAGGATAAAATGAGTATGGCGCCAGCCTGAAAATCAATTTTTGGCACTCTGATATCATAGCTCAAGTGGCCGCGGCGGCCACCCTGAAAAAAAATTAAGAGTCGAGCCATGACTGTAGTTGCTTGAATAGTACTCAAAATTACACAGAACATAGCTATAGTACATGTTTATATGTGCTCAATATACTGCCAAATTACAGAAAACCATAGTAAGAACAATGTGTTTGAAATAATGTATCTAGAAATTTTATAAAAATGTAGACTCAAATCAGTATGCGAGATATTAAGATAATATAGCAGAGTTAATAATAAGGAGTAATGACACAAGGTTTTAACAGCGTTTGCCATAGTTCAACTGTAAATATATCAATATGTGAATGAACTATTAAAAGACGACCGGTTTTTTCGTCCTATTGAATTCTCCCTTAAATCATATGACAATCCGAATTAAATTTATGCCTAAATCGTTAATGTTCTTATCAAAGATAGGTTACTTTGAATACGACAAAGCACAGTTTTTCAACACATGGAAGAGTGCATGTTTAACGCAAAGTTTGATATAGAGATAGTTTCCATTGTTCTATGGCGGTACGACTGGAAGGCCGTAAGGGAATCAGCTGGTAGCTATGCTGGCCGTGAGTATGCACATTAGTTTTAGCAACGGCTGAAACTGCTGCACGCTGATACAATCCGATGCCTAATATCATTACGGCACAAGTTATCCGTCATAGCAAATAAACGACTATATACTGATGGAAATTTATAGTCGTAAAACATGACATCCATGCATAAACTGTGCAAAACGCGTGGTCGTTTAAAAGTAAACTTGTTTTGAAGAAAGCAAATAATCGTTTTTCAGGTAAATGTTGGGTGTCATAATGGTATTAAGGAGAATCATAGCGAAAAACAATGTCTAAAGTGAATATTTATTCACAATTTAATGATTAGCAATATCGTTGAAACAGTTGAAAGCTATTGCAAAACTGCTTGTAAAACGTTCATACCTTCTCTAAATGTACCTCTGTGATAGTACACTTCGCTACGACTAGCCATAGTCCGGCTAATATAGGCCTATGAAGAATACCGACGGGCGCGTGATACTTAGCGCCGATGAAAGATAACTCGGGCGGGCGTAATATTTAAGCGGATGACAAATTTACGAGTGCAGGCGGTAACGTATTTTTGTCTGGTAATCGTAATTAAGAATTATTCGTGCTTCAATAAAATCAAAATTCAGCAACGATAAAACCAATAGGTAGGGAAAGACATGTGTTTATATCATGTATATGCTAATTTTAGAAAATGTAACATCAATAGTATGCTTAGAGATATTAAGGTGGGGGAC